CTCTTTGCTTGGCTTTGAATCTTCTATCATAAAGCACTTATAAACTATGTACAGTGGAGTAAATTCCCATTTTAGTAGCATCAGTAGATAGATCAAATGGAAAAAAATAACAAGAATGTGATAGTATATTTTGCAAGTTTAAAAGTTTTATCTGCCTGATACCTATTCTGAACTTGAAGAAATAATAAAGGTCATGTAATACATATTTTTATTCATGTCTCATGGAGAGGGAAAAAACAGTCCTTCTCCTGGCACTGGACCCTTTTGCATAGCAATCCCTTGCATGCCAACCAACTCCTGACTCTTCAGCCAGTCCTGAGAAAAGTGCTCGGTGAAGAAGAAGAGGATGGCTAAGATCAGGAGTGGAAAATTTACACCCACCACAGAGATTTTATGTACAGCAACTGAAAAGAAAGAATGTCTTTTTTCTCCTCTTAATCACTGTAAAACCACATGTGTACACACACACACACACACATACATATGCGTTTACATATGTATATTAAAAAAAACCCTGCCCGGTCTTTTATAGTGGAAAGCATCTTCCACGGGATGGAGTACGCCTATAAACAGCAGCTCTATTTCTGGTGAGAAGTCAAGACATTTTTCACCATCTTTTACCTGGTGTTGTTCACTTGTAACTCTTAATGGCAAAAAGAGTTACTCCACCAAGAACAAAAAACTTCAAGTAAATGGCCTCTTCAAATCCGCTAATCCCTCTCTTGCTTAAGCAAGTCTTCTTCAGTGAATAGTAAGAAAGAAATGAAATGTTTCAAAAATAAAGGAATATGGTTGTGAAAAATTACTTTTCATGCAGCTTTTTTTTTAGATTTTAAACGATCAGCACCCCCTTTATTTGTCCAAACACCATGTTCTGCATTGAAGCAAACTCCAAACAGAAGCTAGGTCTAGCTATTCTTTTAAAATAATCTGCCTATAATATGAGTAGGATTAACTGCTCCATGAAATAACATGTTTAAAATAGTCTGCTCAGAATAAAAAATATGGTTAAGGTACAGCAGACAGCATAATGTCTTCACTGACAAGTGACAAGTCTGAGGCTTAAACATTAAAGTCTCAACTGTCAGCCATTATCATAGATAGCAGGAACCAAAAATGCTATGGCCGATACAGACTTTTCACACAATTTACGTTTCTGCAAGACATGAGACCCAGAAAGATTCTCTGTGGAGAGAGTTTTCATCCTAGTTCTATTGAAAAATCTTAATGAATGTTTGAAGGCGAGACATCTATATTGCTTGTTGGACACAATTATAAACAAGACTTGTTTGTATTTCAGAAATCTTTTTTTGCAGAGAATAACAGTACATATTTTCCAGGTTTTCTTTCTCTTTTGCATGAACTGACCATAAAATAAGTTATCATGCTTGAAAGTACAACAGCATGCATTTTCTACTTTTTTATTTTAATAGCAGCTGTAAGAGGAGCTACACTCTGTAGCTACTGAGCTACAGAGGAGCTACACATATGTGTGTGGGGTGTGTATGTGTAAACTTGCTGAAGCTGCTGAGTAAATGTTTTAGCAAGTTACACCTTTTAAATATGCAGACTGACATAAATAGATATATCCACTGTAAAATGTTTAACATTCTACAACAGAATTGTTAAAATTCAGGAGCATTTTTACCAACGTTTACCAACTTTTTTATCCACTTTTTTTTATCCACTTTTATCCACTTTTACCAACACAGGCACTTTGTAAAGTGGGAGCCACTGGGCTGGGTGAGGCTGAAGCTCTGTCCAAGGGAGGGAGCACCCTGTAGCAGATGCTACAGATGCTTTATAAAGAAATAAAAAACATAGGGCTGTTATTCTTCCTAGTGTACCTTTCCAGCCTCCAGCTTTCTTCTGTCTGTATTTTTAATAGTCCCTGTTGATTTTGCCCCTAACAGTTTATCTGATCTTTAACAGTAGTTAAAGGTTGTGGAAATGGTGCCACAGTTTAGTTGTGTGTCGTTTGGGGGACTGTGACCTTTAGGTGGCTGAGGACAAACCTGCTATCATTCCTTGTCCCCTCGTGGCTCTGGTAAGGGGATAGTGCAATACTGCCCACTGTTTTCTCCATGCCACTTATGATTTTATAGACATCTATCATATCTCCTTTCAGGCTGAAAAGACTTAGTCCATTTAATAATTTGCAAAAGGACGTTCAATAGTTGCTGTTTGAGACAAGGCACGACCAGATCTGCAACCACCCAGAACTCAAAATGAAGATACGCGCTGGCTTTATGCACTGACACATTAATAACTTACACTCTGCTCTTTATTCCTTGACCACTAATCAGCTTGGGTATTATTGTCATTGGGCATTTTTTTTCATCTAAAAAATTACTTAGAGCTATGTATTATAACTCCAACATCAGCTTCTTGAGTGCTAATAAATTGTTACAGTCTTCAGAGGTGTTGTGTACTGAAACAAACTTCTCAGAAAGAAATGTGAGGAGTGAACCAGCTCTTCAAGAGCTTTTAATTGCTTAGGTGGTTCATTTAGTATTGACTGTTTGGGCATAAAGCAACAGGTAATTAAAGAAAAATTACATTTGGCTACAGAAATAGCTTTTTTCTACCGATGTCAGATGTACAGTTTTTGCCCTTTGTCCTCCCTGCTTTTTCCAAGTTTCTTGACTCCATTAGTGAACTTAGGCTGAAGTAAAATTAAGAGTGACAAAGAGTATATTTTTTCCTAATAAATTTACCATGGGTCCACAGCAAAAAAATCCAGTAAATATGCTCTTAGAATATTATATTTCATGCAGGTCACATTTGTGGATGCTGACAAAGTTTCCCTCACTTCTGATAAATTTATTTCCCTAAAATCCTTTTTCTGATCTAGCACATTTAGTTAATTTCTTGAAAGCAGATCTTGAATTTTGAGGGAAGGTGGATTTCAGATTTGCATAAATTAACCTCTGAAACAGAGGAGTTTGACTTCAAGTGCTAATGAAATCATGTATGAGTTAGAAATAAAATTTAATTCTTGTTTTCCTGCTCTAAGTAAATGACATAGTCCTACCTTCTTCAGCTGTCTTTGTTGCTTGGTTTGTATCACATACTTTTATTTATTTTGCATAGCTATATGCGGATATGAATACTGGGGCTGTAGATGGATTCTTCTGGTAAACAACAATGTTTTTTGTTCTAAGCCTTCATTTAAATGTTATCTCTGAAATACATCTTCCGTAGGGAAAATAAAATAGAGCATAAAAGAATTTTCCAGTAGCTCTGCGGCAAGAATTGTCTTCAGTTTTGCATTGCTTATCATCTGGCTTGATAAAAAATATCAACAGATACATTGCAAGGATGCGCGAGAAATCAAATGAAAAAACAATTACTTTTAAGTTTTCCTAGCTGCATATTGTACATTGGGGGGTGCCACTCTGTAACTTTAGTAATAAGCTTACTGCCTTTTATTGTATGCTATATTGCCACAAATGAAACTCAAATTCAGACGCAATCCTGTTAGACCAAGCTCCAGCTCATTTATGTAACCAACACTGTACTTGGGCAACAAACAATTTTTCCTGTGGTAAATACACTTTTTCCTTAGACTCACAGCACTGTTGTTTCTGTGGTCAGTCTGTCTGCAATTTTATTCATCTATCTTAACTCCTAGGTGCTTTAATGCTTCCATCTCTGTGTTAGTGAGGTGCCAGACGAGAATGGAAATTTATCACTTGTGAAAGAGCATCACTTGAGGAGGATACATGTTTTGTTCGAGATGCCAAATTGATAGCACTTGAGACAAGTTTTTGAAATTCAAAGAAAATGTGCAGCGTAGAGACAAAAAAGTGAAGATTTTCATAAAGTGCTCTGTAAACATGTCACGAAAGAAACTGCTTAAGGGCTAAAATAGTAGATCAGCCTCTTCTGAATTCAACCTCTGACATTTTTCCTAAGAGCTTGTAGGAAACTAGTCATTCTGCACTAATTCAGTCATATAAGCCCTTCATCAGGAGGTCCTTCTCTGCATGATGCAAACGAAACTTATTCATTTCAAGTCAAAAAGCCATCAAATATGGTTTTTACAAATGAGAAGAGAATTGGCTGACATTTGAAGAGAATGAACATTTCCCATATAAACTGAAAATATCCCAAGAAAATAATCTGATCATTTTGCCAAAAAGTGGTGCCGTGGCCTTTGAATTTAAATAGTGGCTGCCAGGGAAAAAAAACATCATTGTTTTAACACAGACAGAAGTTTGGGAACTCACTTATGTATTGGTTAACCCATACCAATGGAATTAACATTGTAACATGCACTGTACCATGCTGGGATTTTTTAATTTGATCACAAACTGATGCCCTTAATTCATAGAATCATAGAATAGTTTGGGTTGGAAGGGACCTCCAAAGGTCATCTAGTCCAACCCCCCTGCTGTGGGCAGGGACATCTTCAACTAGATCAGGTTGCTCAGAGCCCAGTCCAGCCTGACCTTGAACGTTTCCAGGGATGGGGACTTTTGTTTGACAGAAGAAGATAGTATCCTTGATAATCACTAACTTTACAGGGGTTTATATAGTTGCATCCAAGCTGTATTCATAAGTGATACATGAAAAATTCTTAACTTTAATTATTAATGTTATTTTGTTGGAAACAATAACAGGATCTCCTGGGATTAAATTGACATGATACAAATGCCAGTAAAAAGACATTTTAATTATTTAAATGTTAATGATTTTTATATAACTTTTAGAGTGGGGCCCTGGGTGTTGGCAGAACAGCAGATTAAGCTTTGAATTGAAGGCTAAATCTGCACCGGGGCTGAGCATGCCACGCTTATACCCAGGTCTGAGGTCCCTGGCATGCAATGAAATCTCCAGATCTTAGCAAAGGCAGGTGCTCTTTGCAGCATCAGTTGGGTGCCCAGATGATCAAAATTCAGCATGGAGATCAGGGAGGTGCCGAGAGATATCATGAATGTACCACAGCTGTTCCTGAAGCCATGTAGGCTTAAATTTTCTCATTACTTGCCCTTCAGGTGTTCCAGGGAAATTTTGACAATGACACGCACCGTAAGAACGTCATCGACCCTCCAATCTACGCCCGGCACGTCCGCATCCTCCCATGGTCATGGTACGGCAGGATCACCCTGCGGTCGGAGCTGCTGGGCTGTGCAGCGGAGGACTGAGGCAGATCTCCGTTAGGCATCGCAGCTCTCAGTGTAGCTAAAAGTCCCTCCGTAGAAGAAACTGTGCAAAGCCTGTAGGATGCTGAGTGGGTTTTTCATGAACAAGTGCTCATTTTATGGTAGGCCGCTAACTGTCTTTCGCAAGGAGGTCTAAGCCTGCCCTTTAAATGATCCAGTCCAATTTTGTCCTTGAAATCTGTCAGTGTTGTCCCTTCTGCTGTGGAATTATCTTTCTAGTTTTCTTTTGAGTTGTTCACACTAGTTGAAACGTGTTAGGGAAAAACAGCAGCATCCTTTTTACAAGGGAAGAGAAATAGCATGACAACGCTCATTTGCAGCTTTAGAAACATTGGGCTGACAAGTTCTCCATAAATCATACTGTCATCTTACTTGCAAAAAGTGATACTGCAGCTTTTAGCAATAAGTTTACTTGGGGATGACTGCATTATAGTAATTGTGCCTATCAAACACTGTCAGTATTTATGACATATATTTTGGAAGATACTCTGTGGTACTGTAAAACACGGTACCTGTGATATTACAAGCTACCTTTCATCACTTTCATCTGAACAGCAGAGTCCATGCACCTAAAGGGTTTTCCTAACTAACCCAATTTTCCTTCTCTCTTTTGCATGCTATAGACATGACCTCCATCTTTTCTGTTTAGTATCACCACTAATGTTATTTTCCTTGAAAGAGGTGACCTGTTTGCGTATGGAACAAAATCTGCTATCAGTATATTATGAAGTTAATGAATTTGCCAAAGTTTATTACTTCTGCTTGAGATGTGCTTTTTCAAGGAGGCTGAGATGAGACGCCAGGGTACTTGTGGTATCTCATCTTAAGTATCCACGTAGGTAAAGGCACACGGCGCATCAGAAGTCCTGAGCCCATTTCATGACTTGCCCAGGGGTGAGCACAGAACCCTAGATGGAGCTGCCTGCCCAATTACTTCTTTCAGAAACCTCCTTAATTTCTGTGAGGAGGTAAATGTGGGGAAGGAATCAGGTGCTAAAAGACACACAGGAGGAATGAGTCCCTTACTGCCAGGAAACCCTCTCTGTAGGCTCTTCTTATGGTGGCAGTGACAGCCTTCCTCCCAAGCATGAAGGCAAGAGGTGTTGCAGGAGTTCATCAAAGCTGGGCCCTTGGGACCCTCCACTCCCAACTATGTCTTTTCAGACACATGCCAGTGAGCCACGAGGAGACTGATTTTTATCATGCCTCATCTACAGAAATGCTTCATACACACTACGTTGTTTTAACAAGATGATATAGCCAGCGAGGACCCCAGCTTAAAAAGTAGGTTTTAGGAGGAAAAGTGGGTCAGTAGGGGGGACATTCTCCCCCGTGCCTCAGTTTCCCCTGATGACGGAGATAAGGATACCAACCTTTGTAAAGCACTCCAAGTTTCTTTGGAATAAGGTGCTCTACGACTATGTTAGTGTAGTACCAAAGTCTAAAAAAATCCTGGGACAAGGAGAGAGGGGACCGTTTATCTGTTACCTGGAATAACAGCATTTGGGATTACTGCCACCCTTTTAATTTCATAACATGCTGATGTGGAGAGAGACAGAGATATATAGAGAGAGCTGCATGCTTTAGCAAATGTCACTGAACTTATTTTTTGTCACTATTACATTCTCACTGAAACGCTGAAGTATGAATCTGGGCACTGCTTCCCAGGCAAACAGCTAGCTGGCCCACAGTCTGCAAAGGGCAAAGTTTACTTTGGAAACAAAATGGTTTGGATTTCAAAAACCTGCATTTAATCACACATTCTCCACCACAGACAAAATATATTATCCATTGAACTGTGAAAGACTCTAGAATAGCAGCCAGGAATTTTACATACAAGAATTGGGGATATATTGGTGGCGGTTTTCTGATAGTGTCACTTAAACTGTCACATTTTAACAAACAGAACACCCTGCCTCTATAAAATGACTTAATCCTTAAACTGTATTTATACAAGTATTTATTTTATAAGGCTTAGACATTTAAAGACTTCTAAAGAAGAGTCTTGTAAAGGTAAAAGTATGTGTAAGAAATGTTGAGGTCCTGTGCAACACTGCTAAGTTTGTTCTTTATTTTTTACTTTGTGCCGCATAACAAAAGCCACTAGACTGTTACTGTCTTGTCTGTAACTGTGTTAACAGCATTCCTTAATGATGTATATATGGAGTGGTCTTCAAGCATAGTGAGCGATTTTAAAGAGAAAGTCAATCATGATGGTACTTCTGAAGAGCAAAATATTTCTCAATAATGGAGAACAAATGTATTTCTAAATTACCTATTGCCCATGTTTTGCACTTTAGGCTCTACCAAAAAAAAAAAAAACCCACCACAGAAGTAATATTTATCTCTTTAGGGCACACACAATATTTAAAGAGGTCCAAAAACATTTTCCTGTTGTGGGAGAGTAATTGACCCTGAATTTAATTACAGATATGAAGAATAGCATGTAGCTATTTCACTAGTCGACTGTACCCAAAAAATGGAAGGCCATTTCTGAAAATTAGGTTCCCTGGTTTACCAACTTGTTTTAATGTTCTTTTGAAATATTTATTCTGTGTTCTTAAGTGTTTTTTTTTCATGTAATTAATCTTTTGCAACTTCAATTTTGGTTTTGAATTAATCTTTCTTGGTTTAGTAATTTAATTGTTATCCATTCATCTGCATATAAAAATAACGTTGTCATGATACCTAACGCAGTAACTTTATTTTGTATTAATTTAGAGTCGAGTATTTTCATCCTTATGTCCTGTGTCAGCTTTCATGTGCCAGCAGTCTTCACAACCTGCAGAGAAAGCTCCATATCCATTGTGATAACACTCTCTGGTAATTTATAAAAGAATCATATATGTGATGCCCTTACAATTTCAGCCAACATACTGGGGTTTTTTCTAATGCAATTGTTCCTTAGCTACCAAGAAGCTTTCTTTAAATGGCATTGTGCAGCCGTAGTACCAAATTCTGCTCCCAGTGTCAGCAGTGTAAGTCTGAAATAACTCTTGATTTCTGTGGAATACTTCAGATTTAACAAAACAGATGAGAATCAGATTGTGGTCTAGAATTAAAATTTTTCCTTTTAATTTTATTTTCTTGTCTTGGTGAGCACCATTGACATAAGGGACAAGTTATAAATTAACATGACTGTACTCTGCCAGAGAAAGCAACTGGCATCCCAAAACTAGAAATAAGTGCAGGATATGTCCCTTTAAGAGGGGATGGAGAAACACTCTGAAATGATCCTTGACTTCTGTATTAATTGTAACAATGGCACTGAACAAGACTGAAAATGTTCTCCTAATTAAATTTCACCCTGAACCAATTAAGTATTTGTAGGCAGACTTCACCTTTCTGTAGCTCTGTAATGTGCTACGTTTATAGCCTGGGAAATAAAGCACCGGCACAAGGCTCCGTTTTATCTGTGTTCTGTTAAGGGCTTATCACGTTAACTGGCTCTCGTTTTGAGGTTGACTTTCTCTTTTGGAATGGCTGCATACAAATTAGTGTCAGTTTTGAAGACTAAGGATACTAAATGAGTGTATCTTTGCTATACAACAAATATGAACTATAATATTCAGTGCTGGCTTCTGATGTGTCAGTAAGTACAGAATTATCTCGGATACAATGACCTTTGCAACCTTTCAAGCTGTGTAATATTCAAATGGTTTTGTATATACTTAAATCATGTAGAATGATGTAAAACCAGTATGACCTTGTCTAGTCTTCAAACTTAACAATAAAACTTTTGAAAAATGATGTCATTTTTGAAGCACTTATATTGCAATACCTCGAAGGAGATGCAACTTATCTCAGCCTCACTGGCAGCAAATGCAGAGCAGAGATATGATGTGGCATTTTCCTGGATTCATTCGCGGGGTCTTTGTGGTAGGTAAGTTTGTTTCTGGCAAAATCAACTGTGGTGCTGTGATCCCTTCAATATGTTCCCTTTGTTCTTTCCGATAAAAAAGCAAAGGTTTGAGTGAGTCTAAAAATATTTTTCTTTCTTACTGCTCTCTGAATGAGCACCAGAAATGTAAACTGACAATTTCATTTCCTCTAAGTCAAATTTCTTGGGGTATTTATCAATCCTTATCCTCTCTTCTCCACTCCTGCATAGGCAAATTAATTTCCGAAGAGATAAACAGCGGCTGCAGCGCAGACCCGCTATGAGGCTTCCAGCAGAGATGCCAAAGCAGGGCCGGTGCTTGCTGACACCCTCATCTATCTTCACTTTATTTGCTGTCCAGCCCACTTCTCAACATTTCTTAGTTTAGTTAACTAACTGTATCATTTCAATTTCTGAAGAAGCCTAGGGGTTAAAGTAGCGCATGGAAAAGCCATTCACTCCCGATTTTAAACATTGAGATTTTTAAAAAAATTTAAAGCTTTGTGTAGCTGTAAAAGATGGAGCTTCAGTGGTTTACTCCTTACTGATCCAGAATAAGCTCATAGATATACATGCTTTTCTTTCAAACCCATTTCAGCTTGTGTCCTTTCACCAAAAATTGTCTTTTGGAGATAAAAACCATCCACAAGTATGCACTGACGACAGGTACCTTGTCTGCCAAACATGCAGTCTGAAAACTAACAGCATATCATCTTTCAACAGAAAACTCACAGAATTGATATTGCAATTTTTTTTTATGACATATCTCTACCGGTCATAAAAATTAGAATATAATGGTGCACACAAAAAGAGGATTACTTTTGGTGAATGATGGCTGAATATTAGCGCTTCAGTCATAAATTTCTGAAAATATACATCTTGAATCTTTCTGACTTCTAATTATAAATTTCAACTCTTTCATAAAATACGGGGCCTGTTCCTGAAGAAATGAAAAGTGATTTTTCCTCTCATTCTTCATAACGTAGATCCCCAGGAACTCTAATGAAGACAATGAGAGAAAATAACGAGTAATTCTTTTCAGAATAGCAACTATTTATCAATGTCCATCCTCCCATACCTGTTGCTAATGACCTCAAGGGAT